GACGCTGGGTAATTTTCCCAACATAACGAACGTATCTTCTCTCTCTCTCTCTCTCCTTCTCGTAGCATAACGTTTTATATTGCCGTGCTCATATCTCGCCAACGTTTCCCCGAGGTGAAGTAAATTTCGAACGAATTCGGGATGGAAAACGTCTCACACGCGTTCTTTATTCCAGAGCGGAAAATCGTACGAAGAGCAAAACCTGGCCGTTACGTTATATCTCCATCAAAATTGCACTCTTCTCAAGGCTTCACGCGGATCTTACATTAATTTTTTTTTGCATGAAAATAGTCGATTAGTCGATATATAGACTATTTGCGAGAAACTGCACGAAAAATTTAGTCGCGCAGGAAGGTGGAAGAGAAAACGCGGCGCAGGAGTTTCGTGTGTGAAAGTCGTATAAATAATTTTTATGCGACTTCGAACTTCGCGCAGTTTCGTTCCTACCGATGTATACCGTTTTATCTCGACGTGCTCCTTCCCGACATTTCCCCAAGGACATGTAAATTTGTATGAGACGGAGAAAACGGTCACGTACCAATAACGGTTGAGCTGACTGATAATTGGCGCTCACTTGTTGTTAGAAAACAATATGTTACAGAAAGCGAAAACTTCGAAGAAAAGTATAAAAGAAAAGATCAGGAAAAAAAAAAAAAAAGAAAACTAGTAGATCTCTGTTGTCAAGTTGCTAAGGCCGCGCGTTGCACTGTATATAATTTTGTTGCATATTTCTTTCTTGCAGATACATCGTGTTATTTCGCTCTAGTTATGTTTCTGCAACATTTCCCCGGGGCGGAGTAAATTTAAGACGAAGAGAAAGAAAATATTGTCCGCGCTCGGTCGACGAGGCGGCAAAGAAGCACAGAGCACAAAAGGCCCACAAAATGGATCACCTCAGTCCCGTACTCTCTCCGAAACAGAATATCACAAGCGTTCCACTTTAAAGTCCACCGGCCTGATGCAACATCCCCCGCACCAATTTTCGCCAAAACGCGCGAATTATCGTTATTGGTCTATTATTATCCGCGCAACATCATCCCCCCCTCTTTTCCAAATAATGCCGCGAATGATTAATTTCACGTGTGCGAATTTAACGGAATTTGGGATAGGCCCGGAAATTAGCAAATATTTGCGAATAAGTTCGTCTCGCGAATTACATTAATTATGCAACCCGACAAAATGCCACTGATGCATCTAATGAGTGTGATTGAAACTCTAAAAAAAGCATCAATATACAAATGAGTCCACTTGATATCAAATTTAAACATTATACATATATATACATATATATACACAATATATTTAAAAAAATATATATTCATGTATCAAAAAAACAACTAATTCGGAGATTGATAATAATAATTTGACATAAATTTCGAAAAAAGAAAAAGGTCATTTAATCAATCTCGATTGTTAAATCGACACTTTGTGCACGTACTTCTGACGATGACAAACGTAAAAATTCCTGACCACTGATGTCTGCGGATCACTGTTAGCAAAGTCGGAGCAAAACTTAAACTTAGTGTACGCGCGTGCAACGCTAATATGCTCATTTCAGTCCGTGGAAGCTTCGCTACAAACAATTTGCCAGGAAATTGGCATACGTGCGCGATAACCGCTCGAGAGAGAGAGAACGGGAAATGGCCCACTCGAGAATGCGGGTAAGCGTCATCTTCTTCGCGGCTCACGTCTTACAAAAATTCACCGCTTCTGGTTGTTTGGCGAGCGTGCAACCGAGAGAAACCATGCAGGCGGTCGGTAAACCGTGTGCCCATCCGACTCACTCTCCGAGGATGCTTAAATTGCCATTACGCCGGGGCAAAACGCTCCGGCGCGGAGAAGGAGGGGGACCGCATCGCTTGACTTTCGGTGAATTTCGCTGTTAAACTTTATCGAAGGTAAAAACACGGAGATAGCGCAAAAAGCAACGCGCCCCGCGTTAAACTGCGAACACACGCGCGCGTCCGACTTCATTAAACTTATCGCGATCACGCACATAATTGAAGATATTACAACTTGAAATATACATCGCAGTGTCGCCGTCGAGAGAGCATTAATAAGAACAAAAAACATAAGCTAGTTGCGTTTAGCTGGCACAATTTGCAAAACCGTTTTTGCCAGAAATGACATTTGCTGAATATTTGAAGACAAAGTTTCACGCACCGTATAAACCCTTATGAAAGTAAAAAATTATGTATATGTTATGGTCAAAGCCCGATGCACGGGGGGTTCTAGGATTGACCGGTCAATGCGCGGAACACCCAAGCGTCCTGGTCAAAGTCCAAATTAGTTTTTTAGTGTATTTTTTAATACGCTAAAAAACTATTTTTACGCTACTGTCGCGGTGACAATGTTATAGATTAGGTTTTAAAATAGGTTTTTACAGGGAGAAGGTGCGGAGCTCCTCTCCTGCCCGTGTACGATGGTATATGATACAAACGAAATATTTTATTACGTCTCAAATGTTCATTCGAGCTCTGACCAAGACGCTTGGTTGTTCCGCGTATTGATCAGTCAATCCTAGGAACACCCGGACTTTGACCGCAACATATACACATAAGTTTTGACAAATTTTAATTATTCCCTTCGTAATGTTCTATTCTCAGCGGACTCAAAGAAAGTTGTATGGATTCTTATTATCCTTAAATCGCTCGTTGCGTTTTTGACCTTAAATACTCTAATGTTTCTTGCTCGTAGCATTCGAAACGTCGTTTTTCAGAAGTAAAGAAGAAAGGCAACTTTTGCTTAACGCAGTCTCCGTCTATTTCTCTCTATTGACTCGCAAGCGAATTCACATTCAGCAACGAATGCTGTTGGGAACGTAAATATATGCGATCACTTTCGTAAAAGCTCGCACAAATAAGAGAGAAACGGTAATTTTATCGCACCGCTGAATAAGTTACACGGGCTTGGAGTTGAAAACAATTTCCGAGCGAGTTATTAAGGTGAATACTCTTGCGCTCTTTCAGCATTAGACAATAGAAACTGCTGCCGAATAATTAGATAAGCAAACTCGCTCAAAGTAAACCGTAGCAAAACTATTTTATTATTGTTTTTTTTTAATCGCGCGCGCGCGCGTGCGAACACACACACGCACACACATCGTGGATTCCATTTCCTACGATTCACATAAATGTTCGATAATAGCAGGCGTTATATATTATGCAACGATATCAACGTTGTTATCTTTTCTTCATCGAAGACGTCTATAATTAATAAGCCACGTTGAAAGATAACAAATAGCTTCGTATATTATGTGGGCTCGCGTGAGAGCGGTTATTATTACTCCTGGAATAAACAACTCGCCTGCTTACGCCAAATGCAGAAGAGCTAATTATATCGGAGAATGATATTATATGTATATATATATATATATAAATACATGCGGCTGTTCCTAACGATATTTACGGATGAAACCAACATTTTACCGCACAAACAACACGATAAAAAAAGCTGGACATCGACGCGCGAGTGTGCACATTGTTAATCTATTTAGTACGCTTCTTTCGTCATATGGTAATTATGAAAGACATTTTATGGTAATTATGAAAGACACTTCTCTGTATTCTGTATATCTTAATTAAAAATAATTAATGTAATAAAACATAGTAAATGTGGCTTAATTATATTTTAGCGATGTAATTTCTTACTTAGATTAAATTACTATCTATTTAATTTGTGTCTCTGTTGGCCGGATAGAGAATTCGATCTATTTCCAATCCAAAAGAGAACTTGTAACTCAATTTCTCCGGTATTTTTGTTTAACGAATAAATATATACAAGTTAATGCGGTATCGCACAAAACTGAATAAATAAAACTTTATGTCCTGAATAATTTTAATATTACGATTTTTTTCCAATTTTCTTCTACTCTGTACGATACGTATAAAATGAAAAAAGAAATAAATTATATTATTAATTTTTGAGGTTATTACTGATTTGAATCAGCTTAACTTTTCGGAAAATACCGAAAAAACGACGTTTTGATTATACCTTATGATGAAAGAAGACTTATTCACACGGAGCAAAATGTCTAATTAATTATGACGAGATAAGTACGACGACACATTGCTTCGGCGCTTTTGCGCTCAAGCATGCCCGTACCATTAATATTTATAACGGCGTTATCATCAAACTTCATCATCGTTTGCCCATCGAGCGGGGTCTAAATGTGTCGTCGTTGCAAAGAGAAATCCTAAAACAGCGTTCCTGTCCGTCCCGTAGTTCGCGTCGCCACCACCACTGGCCAGTAGGCAAGCAAGCATAGAGGCAGACAGGCCAGGGGTGCAGGAAGGAGCGGGGTCGACCCTGCGCGCAGCCTCCCCAGTCCACCCCGAAGATTCAGTCGTCGTGCGGCAGAGGAGGGCCGAGGAGCGCCCGGTCGAAGCGCCGAGGTCCTCTCTCCACTCTCTTCGTCTCCTTGTCTCCACACGCGCGTCTCTCTTTTTATCTCGAATTCTCTCTCCGTCTGGACCGAACCGAAAAAGCTTCCAGTCCCTCTCTCTCTCTCTTTCGCTTACTCATTCCCTTCTCTCTCTCTATGCTCATCTTCCCTCCGCGAATCGCGAGTGGAAACGAGCCGGGCAGCGCCGCGCCGACCTTCACCATTTTGGTGCACGCAGCACGCGACGCACGGTCGTGAAGTCGCGCGCGCGTTCTCGCTTCTCAATCCTCCCGTCTCCGAAGCGAAAGGAAACTCGCGAGAGCAGAGTAACTCGCCGCGAATTTTCGCTGGAATGCGCGCGGGACGGCCGGTCCGCTGCGTGAATTCCGTAACGAAACGACGGCGACGCCGGTCTGGGAGTTGCTAGCCTCCCTCAACTCCGCCTCTCGTTCCTGTCACTCTATTCGTCTCGCTCTCTCATTTTCCCTCTCTCTACTATAACGCAGCAAAGGGTGGGTGGTGATACGCCGGTGGCAGTGGCGGCAGCGGCGGCAGTAGTGTGTGGATGCTTATACTCGGTGGGTGCCTCCACTATGTGTGGTAGTAGTGGTTGCTCGTGTTAGTAGTGGTGTGGTGGTGGTGGTGGTGGTGGTTTAAATTTCAGCCCGCGTGCACGGGTTCACCTACGTGAGCCATTACACGGGTCCTCGGCTTTCTCGCCGACTGGGGAGGCTATATGAGCGGTCACGGTCCACGAACGCAAATTCAAGCCTACCTTCTGCGTCTTTCTACGTTACTCTCCTTTTCTCTTTTCGTCAACCTCATCTTCTCGGCGTATCTATGAAGTCGGCGTGTTCTCGCTACGTGTTCTCGCTACGTGTGTGCTAGGTCTTTTCGACCGAAATTCGCGTGCGATTCGATCGCACTTGTGTGTGTGCGTGTGGCTCTCGGTGCGATATATATCGGCCGGTCGTTATGCACGTACGGCTCTGTTGAAAGGATGCGTCGTATCACTGCTGCGCCGCTCTCGTCGTCTCGTACTGATTAAGGTAACGTAACAGTTAGACGCGGACGCGCGATAAAACCATTAATCCGTCTTTTGCGGGTGCTGCGACACACGACGGAAAAACGTCACGACTATATATCGTCTGCTGTTTTCACGTTGGTGTAATAATAGCGCAATCGCGGCGTGGAAATCGGAGCAGAATAATTAATTGGAAGAAACGACATATAAAAAATAATAAGTTTCGAAATTATTGAAATTAACACGCGATTCAAATTGCGACGACAAACGTAATTTTTTTTATTTGAACAAAAATTTTAGTTTTTTTTTAAATCTCGTAATTTTATTTTAACCAAGTTTGTTATTTTTCAAGAGAAAAACACGATATTTCTATTTCTTTCTCGATCGGTCCGGACGACAGCGATCAACAGACAGACGATCAGAAAGTATAGTGCGCTCGAAATACACGCTATAACGTCTCAAAACCTCGTCGATCGAAACGGAAGATGCATATATATATATATATATATATATATATATATATACAGAGCTTCTCACCGATTTGTTAAGCCTCTTACCAAATCGTAAGAAGATACACAGACTCGTGGCGCGAGTATTTTAGCGTCTTTAATCGTAAGAGAACATTTATTGGCTCCAATAATCTCGCGTCTCCCAGCGCAAAAGGGCGTTTCTCTCCTTTTCTATTACATTACTCTTTCTGCTCGTGGACGACCGAAGGAGAAACGACGACTTGATTTTCTTTCAACGAGAAATTCTCTTGGCACATTTGAATGTGACCATGTGTGCATAGCAGAATGGCCACATGTGTTCCCCGAAAACGCGTTATATAGACGCTATATGTGTGTACATACACCAGCGCACACTGTACTTGTGTACATGTGTGTGTGTGTGTGCGGGTTTTCTATCAGACGCTAAAGTATCGTATCGCGCGCACTGCGACGAGGAGGAGGTGTCCCTTGGCTGGTCGTCGCTGATCCTCTCCAACATCAGACGAAAAGACAGAAAGTATGATAAAAACATTCCACTCATGATGATAGCGCCCGAAATCCGTTTAATCGCGGGCCGAATCAGCGAATGCTGGAAATTAACGAGATATATATCTATCTCGTCTCCCCTTCCTTTCCATCCTCGATTATTTTATGCATCCGTCGCAGGATTAAACGGCTTTCCACAAATCCTCGATATATATATATGTATATCCGCGTGTACATATCTCCTATATATATGTATACGTACGTATTTGTATCTTTGTGAAGCGACGGCGCTCCTCCGTAAATTTCGTCCGAACGCGGCGGTGTGTCTCTTATTTTCTTCTCGGCCGCGACAATTAGACTCGATAAAAAACCGTTACTGCCGATTTCGCGCACGTGAGAGAACGAACGGTGAGAAAGAGGATTGGATAGAGAGACCGATACACCGCGCCACCACCACAATATGGAAAAAAGCTCCGATCCGATAAAACGACGAGCGTTTGCTCGAAGCGTGTACCTTTCGAATAAAGCGTGCAGTTTCCTATATCTCGGCGCGTTTCGCAAGAGCGAATCACACTGGTTGTCTCACTGGATGAACGTGCGAGGTCTCGTTTGGCTGAAAATGAGAGGAAGAGATCGCGGGTGGTTTGTTTTACGCTCGACTCGTACCGGTGTATGCGAGCTTTTTTTTCGGCGATATAGAGTGTTACGCCGAAGACGATCGACGATGCGGAGGACGAATAAATAGGCAGAGGAAAGAGTATAAAAAAAAAAAAGAGACGAGAAAAAGAAAAGAAGAGGCAACGAGAAGACGAAAAATATGGTCCCGTGTGCATGTCGAGCATGTCTGTTGCCTTTTTTTTTGCTCGTCTTGTGCCCTCTTCTCTTTTTTTCTCTCCGTCTCTCTATTTCGTCGTCGCACTACTCGAGGATCGTTGACCGTGTCGAATGTCGGTCACTGCAAATGAGATTCGCAGAGGCCGAGATGCGCGAGAAGTCCTCTCGAAGCCGTCTTTTCTCTCTCTCTCTCTCTTTCTCTCTTCCTCACTCTTTGACGCCGCGCGCGTCTGTTTCTCTTCATTTCTTGTGAGAAACTCCCGAAGTAAACCAACCAACCAGGAGTAAGAGTGCCAAGTTGCGAGTTGACAGAATCGTTTAAATGTTTAGATTCACGTGTGAAAGTTCCTCTCTTTTGCCCTCTTGCAAGGAAAACTTCTTATCTCGCGCGGAACCACCTCGCCGTTCTTCCACATTCGAAATACGAGTGGACCTTTGCGTTCGCGGAAAAAATATCGTCTTCCGTTGTATGCGCGCGAGGCACAACCGGAGGGATTTTTAGCGGTTTAATTTCGATCGCGACAATTTTCGCGGTTGCGGGAGAATCGCGAGGCAACTCTCCTCGCCTCCAACGAAAAATAATTACTTTAGAACAGACGTGCGGCCAACGTCGCGACGCGACATTCCTATAAATTCTCACGTCAATTATCTGAAATGCGCAGCTTCTTCCTCGACTACACTATATGTATGCACATTGGCTTGGATTATCAAGAATATGTTGCTCCTCGCGCGGATCATCGCAAGTTGAATCATTTCGCTAAACAATATTGCGCCATCTTAAATGCTTCGAGATTTACGTATTGTGTGCGAAACGTCGAAAATAACTTTTTTATTATTTATATATACAACGCGTTATATAATATATATTAATATAATTTTATTTAATTTTTTATCTGATTTGCTTAAGATATGTTATAAATTGAATTATTGATCTTTCCGCAGGTTTTTTTTTCATTTTTTTGAAAGATATTTGCGAGTATATTAATTTCGCCAGCTCGCGAATACTCTTGTCAAAAAATAATAGTTTTTTATTTATTGTTTTTGCAATATCCTCGGCTGGGATTATGATGCTTACGAACAATAGTGTTCGAAAGCATCATAATCCCAGCGACACACATTGCTGCTTAAATAATTCTTTGCAAAAACCTCAGCGGAAATTCTCTCATAAATGCCCGCATATTTATAAAACCAAAATAATAACTAGAAATCGCTAGAAATAGTTGCTTGCTACTTGCAGCCAAGATTCTGTAAAAAAAGAGCGTACAAATCTTATCATTTTCTATACCGATCTTAAGAAATCTTTGCACAAAAAGTTTTGATACATATATGTTTGTATATATGTGTATATATATATATATATATATATATATATATATATATAAAATATTTGATTGAAAAATATTTGAGAAATAGTGATGATTAATATAATCGAGAAATATCACAACGCGTTAATAGAAATTCTGTCAGTGACAATTAACATATATTCTATAAAGCGCTCCTTGGAAAATTAATATTAGCATTAAATTAACATTATCATTAATATATATATATATATATATATATAGAGAGAGAGAGAGAGAGAGAGAGAGAGGAAGATTTTATATCCTTGGAAAATTAATATTAGCATTAAATTAACATTATC